GTGTGTGTGTGTGTGTGTGTGTGTGTGTGTGTGTGTGTGTGTGTAACTGAGTGGTAGGTGCGTGAGCGAGACAGGTGCTGCATGCAGGCGAGACCGAGGCTGGTTTGCTGAGTCGGAACAGGCAGCAGACCAGGGAAAGCTGACAGTGGAGGTTTAAGGGGAGACAGTGGAGGGAGATGACTGGCCGGCAAACTTGGTCTTGAGCAGGACTCTCACCTCATGTAGACGCTAGTGGGGGGTGGGGGGGTGAGAGGCAAGTTGGCAGTCTAGGCAGTCCTCCTTCAGGGAAGGGGCGTGTGAAGTCGAGGAAGCGCGTCTCTGCTGGAGCGCTGTCTCTGGAGGGAGGTTGGCGGCCTGGGCATCTGGTCAGGGGTGGAGAGTGGAGTTGCTCTTGGGCTCGGGCCCGTGGCTGGATTTCTTTAGCGTAGGGGTGACCCGTTCTGTTGGGAGGCTTTGGAAGGGCGGTAAGCAGAACGCAGACGTGGCTAGGAGAGCCAGGGCAGAATGCGAGGGGTTGAGAAGGAAGCTAGGGGCATCAGGGACCTGGATAAGCTGATGTTGTTGGTGCCGGTGAGGAAGCTCCAGGGCGGTCCATTCCCAAGAAAGAGGTGTGGAGCTGCAAACAGGCATCGAGGTGACCCCCGGCTTATGATGGGGCTCGAGCCTGATGCCTCGATCCTAAGTTGGCTCTGACCTAAGTCAAATCTCTCCTTTTATTTAAAAAACAACAAAAAAAGGGTTCATAACCGATATCCATGTTCAACAGTGAATCCTAACATTGAACGTCTGTCAGGGAACCTGTAAGGCTGATGACATCAGCAATGTAGATGCCCAGCCTCTCTGTAGCACGACGACAGACTCAAAACAAAACAAAGCCAAGCAAACCCAAACCCCACTCAACCCACGGCCAGCCTGAGTCCTGCGCCCAGCAATCCTCCAGGACAGGAGAGGACTGCTCCATAGGGCTTCTGGGGCTGTAAACCTTACGGGAGCAGGCAGCCTCGTCTCCACCCCAAGGATGGCCGGAGAGTTCAAACTGCTGACCGTGTGGTTGGCAGCCCAGCGCCTAACCCACCGCGCCATGAGTACCACTGGATGCCTTTGTTTCTGCTCTTGGGTCATGAATAAATCCGAGTCACTGCATCTGGGCTCTTCATGGTGGGCCCAGGTGAGGGCTCCCCAGGAGACACAGCTCCCAGCAGGGGGGGCAGGAGGAAGGGAGAAAGTCAGGCCAGGTGTTCTCTCTGCCTCCCCAGGCGACGCGGACAACCCGCAAAGCCATCGCCTTTGGCAAGCGCTCACACTCCATGAAGCGGAACCCCACTGCCCCCGTCACCAAGGCAGGCTGGCTGTTCAAACAGGTGAGGCCTCCAGGACCCTGCCCCCCGCCATGCACCCCCCATCACCTTTCTCCTCCTAGCGTTGGGATACCTCTGTGGTTGTCCGTAGCCTCCTCTCGTTGCTCTGGGTAGGAGACGCTTTGTTTTATGAGGGCCCAGAGAGGGCGACTGTCTCTACAAGGTCACACAGAATAATGAGTGTTAAATTTGGGGATCCAGCCACGTCTACGGACGGGCGGATGCAGACACTTGGAAAGGAGCGAGGTGGCCACGCCGTGTGCAAAGACCTCACTGCCTCCTCCCGGGCAGGCCCCACGTGTGATGGGGAAGGGAGGGGATCTCCTTTCAGTCTACGGGTCCCCTCTGTGGAGGCTGCAGAGGGTGGCCTCAGGGCTCCAGACCTCTCCCTGCCTCTGGCCGTCCTTGCCTGCCTGCCTCCGGGTCCAGCTCTGGCCCCTTGTATCTGCCGGGTGGATGTGGGGTGTGGGACACACAGGGCCCAGAAAGGCAGAGCTGGAAGATCACAGGCAATGATCTAACGTCACTCCCCTGCATCGGAGGTCTCAGGGGAGTTGCTGCCACTCGCTTGCGGCAGAGCGGCTAGGAGAGACAGGACGTCCTTTTACTTGGTGCAGCCCTCTTTCCACGGCAGTCCCCCACCGGCCCGTCCCTCCTCCTCACACCCACCTCTCTGCACACCCCGCAGGCCAGCTCGGGCGTGAAGCAGTGGAACAAGCGCTGGTTCGTGTTGGTGGACCGCTGCCTCTTCTACTACAAAGGTGAGCCTGCCCTCTGGTGCGGGATGCCCTTTCCCAGCCGGCCACACTACTGGCGCCCCCCCACACCCTGCAAAGGACCCTGGTGGGGGTGCTGCAGGCCCTTAAACCCTCGGCTGCCAACCGGAAGGTCAGGAGCTGGGACCCAGCAGCCTCTCCAGGGCGGTCTGCTTCTGCGTCGATGCCAGCCTGGGCAGACGCATGCTTACACACTCATTCCCTCACACACTTGGCCACGCATGGGCATCCTCAGACAAACTCATGCTCATTCACTCCTGCATGAGCATACTCACACATGGACATGCACGGGGAGGCTCACACTGACATACCCGCCCACACCCCGGCACTCTCAGAGGTGGGCATCCTCACACTTGAACACTCGCCGCTTCTCACTCACTCACGCTCACTCCCTCCATCGCCATGGCTGCAGGGTTTCGGGGCCCAGGTGGTGGTGGCTTGGGGAAACCAGGCGCGCGCAGGATGGTGTAGTCCCAGCAAGGCTGCAGGAGATGGGCTAAGAGGAGGAACCCCTGGCCAGACACTAGTGGGACTTGTAAGTTCATCTGCAAGTCTGCCTGCAGCGCATAGTAGGCGCTCAATCAATGTGGGAGCCGTGAACGGCCCCAGCTGCCGCTGTAAGGCTCACCCCTCCCCGCACGAGGGAAAGAGGACAGAGTTCCGATAAAGTCTGCCAACAAAAGTCAGCAGCAGCTGCCGCCACTTGGAAGTTATTTTTAAAATGTGTATGGCACTGTGTCAGGAGGGGCGCCCGGGCAGGGGAGGCAGCGAGGGTCTATGGCAGCCGAGGTGCCTCCTGCCCTGGCTGGTGAGAGAGCGCGGGGCTGGAAGGAGAGAGGGTAAAATTATTTCAAAGCAGAAGAACCTATTTCCTTTGTTTCTGTGCCTCTGGGAGGGTGGAGCCCCACTCCCTCCAGGGCTCCCTGGAGCAATCTGGTGGACCATGAACTGCGACAAACAAAGGTTGGGCACAGCCACCCCTGCAGCTCGGCTGTCCCTGTGTGGCTGCCGCCCAAGCTGGCAGGAGAGAGACCAGGAGGAGGCGAACACTTGGGCCCAGGGTGCAGAGCAGACCCCGGCTGGGGAGCAGCATCGCCCCAGCACCCGGCACTGCACAGAGCACAGCGTGGGGACCTGGAAGGAGAGCCAGTCCCTGCCCAGGAGGGACTTTGGGGCTGGCAGTGAGGGCTGTCGTTGGCTGCTGTGGAGGCTGCCTCTGACTCACGAACCAGCTGCTGCCCTGCCCGTGCGGCACCACAATGGGTTGGGGATTAGAGACCATTGTGAACTGCAGGGTTTTCACTGGCTGGTTTTTAAAAGAACTATACTTCCTTGTTGGAAACTTGTCGTTTTGTTGCCTGGAAACTCCACTGGAACCGATTGATTGGGCTCCAAGCGACAGGCAGATAGGTGCCTGTTGATTAGGCCTCCCCTGGCAGACAGGTGCCCAGGAGGTGCGAGGTGGACCTCCCACCTGACTCTCCCACACACTGCTGTCCTTAGGTGCCACCAGGTTGGTTCTGACTCGTAACAACCTGGTGTTCAGCAGGACGAAACCCTGCCCGGTCCCTGCCCAGCTGTCCCTACGTCTGCACCCACTGTGGCCTCATGCGGTGCCTCTGAGGAAGCCGGGCAGGGGGAGGGGGCATTGAGGTGGGAGGAGAGAGGGGACTGTTCCTTTGAAACACGAGAGCCTGTTGGCTTTGTGTCCACCCAGCCTGTTGAGGCCCTGCCCCTTTTCTGCTGCCCCATCCTGCAAAGCAAGGCGTCCTTCTCTGGGGACTCATCGCTCCTGACCGCATGTCCAAAACACGTGAGATGTTTTAGGCAGTCCACGGCACTTCCAATGGCCTTCGACAGCGCCCTAATTCAAATGCATCGATGTGTCTCCTGTCTTCCTTATGCGATAGGCAACTTCCACGCACCTGGGCAGCCTGGGCCTGGGTCAGGCGCGCCTCCGTCCTCAAAAGAACATGCTTGCTCTTTTCCACTGTGCGGAAGTCATGTGCTGCAGAGTTACCCAGCGCAATGTATCCTGGGAGCTTGGCTGCTGCTTCTGTGAGCACGGATTGTGGACCCAAGCAAGAGGAAACCCTTGACCACTTCCGTCTGTTCTCCACTGGTCATGAGGTGGCAAGGCAAGGGTTCTGCTGGAACACCACTGCACCACAGCAGTGAGCGTAGAACCTCTGAGGGCAAGACCCACTGAAACGGAGATGACCGTCCCTGAGAGATGACCCTTGGGTGTCCCTCTAACACAGACCCGGGCTCTGCCCGATGGAGGGCCAGATGATGGAGGACCGTCCCCTCTGGGGTCCAGTCCCAAACCTCTCCTGGTCCTTTGGACCTTGTTTCTTGGCCACCATGCTGCGGCCTGGTCAGAGAAGCTCGGTTCTTGGGGAGGTGATGAGTAAGAGTCAAATGTGAGTTGCCCAAGGTTTCATCTGAGCCCGGAATGTGGGTTTCCCAGAGTCCATAGTGTAATAGGGCATTCACTGACAGTCCTGCGCGTGTGGGAAGGGTCTAGCCGTGGTCTCCGACTCTCGGTCTTTTATGCCTGCTGCCCCCGCTGAGCACTTGGCCCTCTCAGACTCCTGAAGACAGCTGGGGGGCTGACTACAAATGCAGCAGACTCCTGTGGAGAGCCATGATGAATTATGTAGCAGCCTGACCATAGGGCGAGGGGGCCAGGAGGCTCGGTGCTGTGGGAGATGCTCACGAGCCCTGGGAGGTGACACTCCTGCCGCAGGAGGACGTGAAGCAGCATGGTGGTTCCCTGCAACGACCAAGGTGCAGTTGGCCCGAGGAGTCAGGGAGCTGAAGATGGTCCTGTCCACTCTAACATGCTCCACCCCTGGCCGAGTTACACGTATCCCTGTGTGGGAATTGCCGTGCTTAGTGTTATGGATTGAATTATGTTCAGCATCTGCCCAACCCCCAAAATTATATATGTGCCAACTTGGCTGGGCCATAATTCTTAGTTTTATGTAATTACCCTCCATCTTGTGATGTGATGTAATTATCCGGTGTGTTGTAAATCCTACCCTCTGTGATGTTCATGAGGCAGGCTTAGGGACAGTTTTGGAATGAGCCAGGATACGATCGATCTACAGGACTAGGTTGTCCTGTCTTTTGGTATGTGAAATATGAAAGCGATTAAACATGTGAATAGGGATCAGAAAGAAAAGTCAGGAGTGAAGCATGTGCTTTGGATCTGGGGTACCTGTGCTGAGAACCTCCTAGACCCCAGGGGGAAACTGATTCCAAGACAAGTGGGGGATGATCGCCAACAGGTGTTGAAAGCAGACTAAGGCCTTCCCCTTCAACCAACAGAGAGACAAAGGCTTCCTTAGAGCGAGGACCGGGAAGGTAGACTTCAGCCTCCTAAACTATGGGAGAACAATGTGTTTGTTAAAGCCACCTGCTGATGATCTTTCTGTGAGAACAGCGCTGGCTAATGGAGATCCTTAGGGAGGCTGCATAGGCTAGTGATTAGAAATAGAGACTTTGGAGTCAGATTTTTTAGGTTCAGAGACCAATTTCACACTTAGGGAGCCTTGGGCAAATGACTCAACCTCTCTGTGTCTCCATTTCTACACCTAGAAAATAGGGGTGATAAC